GACCCCTAGGGGGTCCATAGTGGTACTGCATGGGGGTCCTACAAGTTTTGGTTGATTACACTTTTTTTTAATATTCCCCCCTGCAATTTTTTCCACTAATTGAAATGTCTTTAAATCCACATTAACATGAATTCAACAGACTGTAGTAAACAGATAAATGGACAGAAGATGTCTTTCAGTCATCAATGCACACATTCAGCGACACACAGGAGCTCTTTCAAGCTGGGCACCATTTCATTTACAACACCTGTCCCATCAACCAGGAATCAGAATCAGAAATACTTCAATAATCCCAGGGAGGAATTACTTTCATTACATTACTCTATCTGTAATAGAGTGACTATAGGACCAGTTTGATAGAACACAATTTCATACAATATACATAATCAGGGGCTCCCCGCTCCATCTCGACATCAGTATGGGGGTCCTTGGCCTGGAAAAGTATTTATTCAATTACTATATAAATATTATATATATATATATATATATATATATATATATATATATATATATATATATATATATATATATATATGTATTATTTTTTTTTAAACAGATCATATGTTCTCAAATGTATTTCTCATTTCGCATTTTTATTGGTCGATATGGACGTTAGCAACAACATTTTTATTGGTAGAGAGCGAGTGTTGGTATTGGGCTTGAATTGAAGAGAATGTGGTCCATAAAATGCATTTTGAAAAGAAGGCCATTTTAAAAAACTTATAAATACAGCAATCTAAAAAAGAAGTTTGAAAAAAATATATAAAGATAAAAATAATATGTCTTAAAAAAAATCTAAGAACACAGGAAAGTTACTTTTAAAACCTTTTTTAAAAATAAACTTTTTAAATTTTCATTTTTGGATTCTATGCTTTTGCAATTTCCATTTACAAAACATGTTCTTTGATTGCAATAATAATGGAACAAATAGCACTCCATATAATAATTAATGACCCAAAACTTCCACCAGTTTATTGTCTAAATGACCAGGTATGTCAAATAATTGATCTCATACAATCTGTAAGAAACCCTGAACCTTCAGACGGAAAAAACCCCCACAGCATCATAGATTTTCTACACTGCTTTGTTTTTTTTTTTGATAAAACACCCTAATCTTAATCCAAATAAATGGAGTCCTTCTCCCATTGAGAAAGTGATTTAGCGGAAATTTAATCCAGAACAAAACACAATCAGTGTTTTTACCAGAGCTGTGAAGGGAATCATGCCCCCATGTAGACATTAATGGTCCATTTCATGACCAATGAGCTTTCATAGACTATGATGGTAGAGTTGGACGTTGCTCTGCTTTAACATGAACTTCTCCTCATGTAAATCCCTCCTGCTACAACCCAGTATGCATATTTCTAATTTCACTTTAGGGATGTTTTTCAGCTGCATTAATTGATCAATTTTCCTCCTGACACGCATCCCTATATGTCTTTTACATCTTTTAAAGGACTTTTGAGGATGTTCCTCATTCTGAGCTGAACTTCTTGATGAAAATAACATCATGAATTCATCCAATTTAGGAAATGTTTTTTTCTTTACATGCCTCCTGGAAAACCCACAGGGATGATGTCTAATGATTGTCATAATAATAGTTATTATATTAATAATGACTTTGTTTATGAAGAAATTGCAGACTGCTGAACAGCTACTAAAAGATTAAAAGTAAATCTTTGAGGTAAAAAGTAATGATCTCATGGGGAGTGGTGGCCTAGTGGTTACGGCATTTTGCTTAGGATCCAGAGTTTCTGAGTTCAAGCCCCCCTCCCACAGACCATTCTGGGTCCCTGAGCAAAGACCCTTAACCCCACACTGCTCCCTGGGTGCCGCACAATGGCAGCCCACTGCTCCGCAAGGGGATGGGTTAAATGTAGAGAGTTAATTTCCTTACTCTGTACTTGTGACAGTGTAATGACAATAAAAAGTTGGGGGAAAAAAATAATTATCAAAACAGACCAGGATAAAAACAATAGACCTTACATCAGTGTAAAAAGGCACAAAGGAGTGTGAACCATTGGGTTTTTAACATCATTTAAGAAACCTCTAGAGAAGATGGCTCCCTGATATCTTGAGGGAGATTGTTCCACATAAATAGTGTAAGATAAGGGAAAAAAAAAACACTTCCAGCAGTTTTCCTTCTGGCTTTAGGGACCTTAACAAGGCCAGTGCCCTGAATTTGCAGAGCACGAGGTGGAATATACAGGTGCAAAATAAGGAGCCAGGCAATTTAAAGCCTCGTATGAAAGCAACTACATTTTAAAATATGCTTCAAACTAAAAAAACGCAAAACAGATATCAGTACTGGAATAATATGTTTATTAAGTGATAAAAAGCAGTTCTGACCTCCTCTTTTATATGAGACTCGAAGGAAAGGAGCGGGTCAAACCACTCACCCAAGTTCCTTACCTTATCCCTCCATTTAATGACACACTCATCAAGTTTCAAGGGAAAGTTATGGAACAAATTATGACATCTCTGATGTCCAATGAGCATCAAATTAGTCTTACTGTTATTAGGAAACATGAGATTACCGGATAACCAGCCCCTACGTGCAGCTAACTCTCCCGATTCTTTACATCTCTGAACAGATTCCTGTGGTAACAACACATATAGCAGAAGATCATCAGCATAATAGTGAAAAGTTGCATCAAAAGACCAAAGAAGAAGCCCAAGATGCAGGAGGTAGAGAGGAAACGTCAAAGGATAAGCACAGACCCTTGAGGGACTCCATCTTCAAAATCTCAGAGAGATCTTTCCTTCTAGCATCTTCCCGGTACCATCCTTTTTACTGGTTGTGGTGCCAAGATTAGTTTGCTTCCTAACTAGTGTCAGGACTCCTGTGTTTTTGTGTCTGTGTTTCTTTGTTTGTCTCCCTTCATCCACCAGGAGGCACCTGTTTCTGGTCCACCTCCTCACACACCTGTGGATGGTTTCCTCGTTAAACGGAGTGTTCTTAAACTGCTGAATGCCACTACTTCGACGCCGGAGTGTTTGCCAGTTTAGGGTACTCTAGCCAAGCTGAGTTTTTGCTGAGTCAAGCTGAGCTCTTGTCAACCTGAGTTTAACTTTGTTTTTTTCTTTGCCTCTCAGCAGGAAGTCATCCTACAAACTGGTTTTCTTGGGCCTTCACACCCTGGAAGGATCAACTGAGCTTCAAACTGAGCTGGGGTTCAAACAGGAGGTTTGGAGCCACTTTCCCTAAGAGATCGTTTGAGCTTCTCACTGAGAAATGGATTATTCACCACAACGACCCGTTCAAGTACCGCAGGAAATCTGAGTGGCAGTCAGCTTTCTCCGTTCACCAAGGAACAACCGCAGTCTGAGTAAACCCTGTTCTGCCCTCCACCGAATCAGACAAACACTGGAACCATGGCACACAGACAGGAGTCAAGGATTCAACAACTTCTCTGGAAACGTGAGTCGGCAACCAAATCCTCTTCTCCAAGTTCACAAGTCAAATTCCCCATTGAGCCTGAACTAACCGCTGTGTCTTCCCCTCACTTTACAGTTCCGGTTGAGCAGTGTTCAGAGCAACACTTCTCCCTCTGTTTAACTTCTTCAATAAAAGCCGTTAAACCTTTTCTCTGGTCTCTCTGTTCGATTTTCTGCATTTGGGTCTGAACTTTGTAACATCATGAGGTCCAGACTGTTAGCCATCAGGGAAACAGAACATTGTGGATTACTAATTAGCAATTTTAATGAAACTGATTCACTTTAAAAAGTAGGAAACCATGTTAGGAATGTATCTCTAAACTTTTTTTTAAATGAGTAGCAGCTATTATGCCGTCTGTAATTCTGTCAAGCAGTAACAAGTGTGTAATTAAAGGATATTTCTTTCTTTAACCAATAAATGCCCTTGAGTTAATAATGATTTTTTTGTCTTATTTCTGTAAAGAAACGCTGAAAGGTTCTTTGCACATCTTTAGCAGGGCTGCCAACAGATGAAACAATGTCTGTATGGGAAGGAAGCAGCCCTGCCTCACTTAATGCATTCACACAATGTTCTCCGCTCTAAATGAACGAGTAATGGAGGCAGGAAGAAAAGGCCGTAACAAGGTGGATGATGATAACTACATGACAGCAAACCTGTCTTGACCTTCTGCAACCTTCTTCCACTCCCTCCTCCTCTAGAGTAATTCTTCTGACTGTGCAGAAAATCTTACAGAGTTAAACAAAAGCTTTTCCTTTCAGTTTCAGGAAATAATAAGTTTATGTCCCACAGATAAGAATGATATTTGTTATATAAGCTCCACATTATCTTAAATAACATCCTAAATGTTTAAACCTGCAACTGACAGTCACTGACACAACACCTCCGCAACTAGAAAGTATAACGAATGAGTTTAAACCTTTTTTTAACTCTTATGTGTCATTTATTGTGTTAGTTAATCATAAAACCCAAATAATCTGCTCAAGGCAAGTAAAAAAGCAAAAAGGGGAGCAGGTTGTTAAAGTTTGCACACCCATTAACTCAGTTGTTTCAAAAAATAAATGTCAATTGCAGTAAATACACATTACAATAAAATATTACAATAAAATCAACCACACTCTAATTAAATAAAAAAGAAGCATTTTTTAGGCTCAGTTGCTTTTTTAAGTGTTAAATACAATGTTACATATCTATTGATCCGTCTTGTTTTTATTTTATTTTATTTTTTTAACTGTGTCCTGTCTGACGATGTGGCATTAAGAATAACTGCCTTGATGCCAAAAAGAACCCATCTTTCTTGCCTATCTTGTTTTTTAAAGACAGATCCTAAAATGGGTACCTTTATTTATTGATTTAATTTCTACCAGCCCAAGTGAAATAACACAGCCTCTCCTCCAGGGGGCGCACCCCTCACTTTGGGAACTCAGCTTTGCTGAAGCGTCTTTTTAGTTAATTTCACTAAAGATTCTTTTTTTATATGGATCTATAAACATTCTGCATCATTTCTCTGAGATATTGGCTCAGATGTTTTGTCAGATCAATAAAGGGATTTTCTATTCTATTCTATTCTATTCTAATTCCATTAGATTTTTCTTGCTGATTTTGACTCATTTTAATGTGGAAACTTCAAAACTTTATCCTCAGTGTAAACATTTAAATCTCAGTAAGTCCCTTTTTCCTAAGATAGGTGCATTTTTCCTTGATTCGAGCCGACAGTTTGCCATTGGAATAAGACTATTAAAAATAGCTGTAATAAAGGAAAATATTTGAAAAATAAATGGTCGTATTTTTCGGATACGTTTTTTTCCCCCAGAGTTTAACTTTTGCTGCTAAATCTGAAGACTTTAGGTTAAACTACGTAGAACCTTCAGGAGTTAAAATAAACCCACAGCATTATACTGCCACTGCTGATAGGGATGGCATTCATCTGGTGATGTAAAGTGTTTTTTATGTGCCAGTCTTTTTTTATTACATCTTTATTCTTTTTTTAAGACGATTTGGTAAAATGTAAACTAAGCTTACAATTATGTGGCGCGGGGAAAAGCATCCTTGTCTATTGAGCATAATTGAGATACCACAAATGCAGCGGTGTTAATTTTGACAGCTCTTCCACTCCTCATCCCTACAGCAGATGACAGTAATTAAGTCAAACACTTCAGGGCTGCATGCTATTACTACAACATGCGATGTTACATAATGTTGGTGAATGCTGTCCTAATGAAACATGTAAAAGGTGAAGAAATACCTCACTAGACAGCATCACTGTTTCTGCTTTGGGTTCCTTTAAACATAAAACCTTTATTATCTATGCAGGAAAAAAAGGAATTTATAATTTATTTTCCAACATGTTAAACTGATAGCATCCGTCCACGTCTGGTTGAACATAAGGATAGATGGGGTAGATGACATGTCCCGTGCAGACCTAAATCTGTAGTTTGGATCTAGCTTAAGATGACATTGTAAATTAAGCAAACTAAAAAGCAAAAAACAAAAAAAAACTTAAGGTTTAATAATGATTGTTTCCACAGGCACATTAGATGCTTCAAACATGAAATATAAGTCTTTTTTTCTTGAACTAAGCTGATTTTCCTTAGATTTGTCTAAATAAGACAATTAACCAAGCAATAAGATGATTTACGTTTGAAATAGGAAAAAGTACCTCCACCATTTAAAAAAAAAAAGCATAATATCCAATTATCTCATTTTAAAGGGGTAACAATTACTCGTTCCAATGGCAAATCATCTTACCTGCTCAAACTGAAGGTTATTAGACTAATGTTCAGAATTTTTTTCTTAACTTTATATCCGTTCTTGCATTAAACTGCATCTTATGTCTCACTCAGCATTTTTCAAGCTGATCCCACCTTTCAACATCCCTAAAATAAGATCTAATTTGGTTTATTTCTAGTGGTGCAGTGCAAAATGCATCAATCTAACCAAGTCTTATTATCTTATATACTGCAAAAAGTATTATTTATTTATTTTTTTTTATTCTGAGATTGATATAAGACCATAAAGACTTGTTCAGATGGGTAGTTTTTGCAGTGTAGTTCTATTCATATGAAATACCTTTCTGATTTTTGTCTTGTTTTCATCTAGTAAAAAAAACAACAACCTTAAAACAACAGTTTTACAAGAAATTTTGGGTAAAAATCAAGACTGAGACAAAGAAATCAAGAGGTTTGCAGAGAATTTAGCAGCTTCTCTTAAAGCTAATCTGCTGTTTAGTAGAAATAAACATCATTTCACTTTTCCCCATCAACCATGCACTGAAAATATTAAACTATAAGTTAGTTTTCTCGAAATAAGTGTATTTTTCTTACAATTTAGGCAGGTAAGTAAGACAACTTAAAAATGGGAAAGGATGATTTACCTTTTAGATAAAACAACAACAACAACAAAAAAATCATTATCTTATTCCAAGAGTAAAAAATATCAAATTTTCTTTTTTTTTTAGGCCCAAAATACTCACTATGTCATTTGAGGATTATCTTAATTATCCTTTTAATCAGTTTTTGCAGTGTGGAATGGAAACAAAACTTTAGAATTGAATAAAACTTTACTGATCTAAGGTTGTTTTTTTTTTTTAAATCTTCATTTCTGGAATGTTTTTTTTTTCTTCAAATTTCCTTATAAAAACTGGTTCTGTCTTTGCAACAATAATGGAACAAAATTCACTCCATAAGAGTTCAACAGTTTGCATATTGATCCAACCAGTTTATCACACCTTTTACATTTCTTCTCTATCTGATCTTAAACAGCCTTTTTCTTCTTTTTCCTCATAAAATGTTCTCCTTTGCAGCTGCTGTAGATAAAATAAAGACTTTTGTTTTTCTTTTCCATTTTTTCCATCAACTGTCATTGTTTCTTTTTATTTGTACACCCAAATAAACACATCTATTTATATACCTTTACACAAACAATGCATAAATAAAATGACGAGAAAAAAGAATATGAAATTTGATATGAAAATAACCGTTGTTACTTTCTTTCACACTCACACACATTCAGTCACACAAGGCCTTAACTGGATCTGACACATTTGTACGTCTCAGTCCTGAGGTTAGTCTCATTAGCTTTAAATATTCCTCATTTGGGTCGATTGTTGATGATACAAACTGAATGTACTTCTATTCTTTTATCCGTTGAGACAGATCATCTCCCATGGAAAAGAAGCATCTTTAATAAGGAGAGTGATTTCATGCAAATGATGCTCTCTTTGGGATTGCCCCCTCCCCATCTCTCCCTCTCTTTCTCTCTCACACACATACACACTTTGTGGCATTGCTACGGCTCAGCCCGTCTGCCAACTGTGGGATAACTGAACCGCACTGATGTTATCTGAGAGAAGAAGGTGCAAGAGTCGTTACTCGCCTGACCAGATGGCGTCAGAGCGGACTCGCACACGTACAAACTCTCGGAGAACACATATGTCCTAAATGCTTTACAAGCTACGCCGTAAGAACAAAACGAGTAAGTAGAAAGTGTGGCTTTGCTGGCTCATGGGAGTACGCTTTGACTGAGAACAAGGTCAGCCCAGTTGTATCGTAGCAGATGTCCTGTCATGATTTTGGATCACACACAGCTAATCCCACTACTCTTCCTGTGTCAGTCAGGTTGATAATTAGCTCCAAATACATCTCTCCATTCAGTTATTCCTTTTCTGAACACATTATTGGACCAAACCCCCAAGTATTCCCTTCATTGTTGCAGACTATCTGCTTGCATCGGAGATAAAGCCTCCTTATCTTCCGCAGAGAAAAATAAAATCCATTTGTCTCTGCTTGGGAATCGAGACTGTGCGTCTCTTAAAGGGCTCACACCTCGCATTCAATGGATCCTGAAATAGTGCACGTGCAAGGCCTGTTCTCATTCACCAAGGAGTCCAATGCCTCTGAGTTGGAGTGATAAGTCAGATAGTACTCCTGCAGCTGAGAGTTGAGGTCCTGCTCTTGCTTGCGGGCCTTTTTTCTGCGCTTATGGTTGACTGAATGCTCCTGCAGCTGCCTCATGGTGTTGGGGTAGCGCCTCCACGACACGTAAATAACCAGCAGGATCAATGCCACTGACAGGAACAGGGCTACGCTGCCTGCAATGATTTTATGGAAAGCCATATGTTCAAACTGCAGCTCTGGAATAAACGACGTGGAGGTCTCTGTGGAGGAAGGGAGCGTGGAGCTGAGGGCGGTGGGTTCTGCTGTCTGTATGTGTGTCCCGGCAGGACTCACAGGAGAAAGGGTTGATTTCTGTGACGGCGATGATGGATGACTCAGGTCTGTAACTCCACGGGGAGCCGGCCAAACTGTGACGCTCACAGCTTGGGTTGAGTTGGAATTAACCCCGGCTGTGGTTGAGAACATGTTTGCGGCGTCCACACATAGCGAGCGGTTCCTCACCACATCCACCACCCGTTCACCCTGTGCAGCCTTGGGGCCGCTGCAAATCATGTTGATGTCCTTGGGGTCCCTGAAGGTCCGGAGCCACCCCATGAGAGGGCAGATCCCGGGGCTGCAGTCCCAGGCGTTGCCCGCTAGGCTGATGGTGGTCAACGAGGTCCACACCTCCACCACTTCTACGGGAACGCTGCTCAGCTTGTTCGTTTCCAGGTTCAGCATCTGCAAGCTCGGCATACAGCGGAAAACGTCCGGTTCCAGGGTCTGGATTTCATTCCCAGAGAGGTCCAGTTTCTGCAGTTTTGGCCAGGTCCAAGGGACCCCCTGGCTTATCGATCGGATCCGGTTCCAAGACAAATACAGAGCCTGGAGGTTGGTGAGGCGTGGGAAAATGTAGAAATTAACCCGGGAGAACTGATTGTGTTCCAAATGTAGCTCTCTCAGCTTAAAGAGTCCCAAGAACGTGGTGCGAGTGAGACTGCGCAAGCGATTGTAACCCAAATCCAAAAACTCCAAACTGCGGCATTCCAGAAATGTGCGAATGAGGATCTGTTTTAGCCCATTAGATCTGAGGTGGAGATTCTGCAGCTTGCGAAGCCCGTAGAAATAACCCGGCTGCAGGGACTGCAGCTGATTATAGGACAGGTCCAAATTTCTCAAGTTGGGTATGGCACTGAAGGTGTTGTTGAGCAGAGAGCTCAGCTTATTGGAGCTAAGGATGAGCTCCTTCAGCCTGCGCACGCCGTGGAAGGCTAAAGCATCTATACTGTGGATGGAGTTGTGGTCCAAGTAGAGCCAAATGAGCTGATTGAGATGAGCGAACTGGTACGGCAGCAGAACCAGCAGGTTGTTATAGCGCAGAGACAAACCCTGGCACCCCGTTGTGATGTTTATTGGAATGTCTTGGAAGACGCCGGACTCGCAATAAACAATCTTCCCTTCGCAGCGACAAGTCGCAGGGCACATCCTCTCCCCCTTGCTGAGCAGCAGCAGAACAGCTGTCTGCAGAAGAAGACAAGATAACCTCCAGTCCAACATCACAGAACCTGTTGGGGGTAGAGTGGGGCACAGGCAATCAAAGGGATGACTCAGTTCCTTAAAAAAAGGCATGCACAAACATCATTATATGAGCGAAGGTAAGACTTTCATTTCCTCTAAGAGTGGAAATGTTCTGGGAAACAGCTTGAGGTCTCTATAAGACCTGCTTCATTAACAGCTGCTCTTCTGACATAGAGAGACTATTTCTAGATGCATGAAGACAAGTTTCAGACAAATGCAGCTTTGTTTGAATACAAGGATGCATAAAAACTATTTTACAAATGCAGATGGTGTTATTTTAGGAGAAATCTGCCAGTTTTAGCTGTCTTTCCTGGCTGAGGAGACCGAAGACATAGAAACTGTCTCAGTAAAACACTAAAGAAATGAGTGACTTACCCATTGTCACTGAATAAAAGGGTAATCCTCCAGAGGGAAGGAGAGAAATGAAGAGAGAACGCTCTAAACTGTGCTGGGCTCAGTCCGCATACTGAGAGGAGCAGATGCAAGTTTCTCTGCAGCAGTCAGAGCCGCACCGGGGGTCTGGGTGATGCTCACAGTGGGGACCTCCTCTCACTAGGCTCGCAGTTGGACCTAACCTCGCTCCACTTCTGTCTGCTGTGCTCGCAGTTACCCATTTGAGCGCCAGCGGACCGATGCACATCACCCCCTCCTCCTCTCTGCGCTCTCTTCCTTCTGCCTCTCTTTACCTCACCCCTTTCTCAGAGACGTAGGCGTCCTCAAGAACATTAGCTTACAAACGACGGGTTTGTGCCACAGGAATACCGCCATTAACTAATTGATACTTAGACCAGGAGTATTGTCAGTTTGATTTACTGTTGGTGTTTTTGCATAGAATCTAAAGTCTATGCTCTTTGCTATGGGTGAAACATTATAAATTTCAAGGAAATTTCTTCTGTGTTGTCTAGATTTTTCTTTATTTTTCAGACGCTTGCCAAAGTGTGGTGTGACCCTTTCTGGCAGGTTCTACTAAACTCTAAAAATGGCTGATTTATTCATATAAAGCACAGGGTCACAGAAAAGTGAGCTGAAACAAGGCAAAGTTGGTCAAATAGAACAGCTGTTATGCAAATGTCTATCATTACAAAGGGAATAGAATACTTCAAGAATGTCAATTATGTGGAAATACATTTGAATTGCGTCCAAAAATACTTTAAAGCAAAATTAAATGTAGCTTACATAAAATGTGTTTTATTAAAGAGCTGTTGTTGAAGATTTCCTGCAGCAGTCTGTATCACAGCGGCTGTAAAGGAGCCTCTGACTGAAGACGTTCTGTTCTTGTAACTGTGAAGAGGATTGCTCCATGTTCTTCTTCAGGTTTATGCTGGTGAAGATTCTTAGTCATCCAGGTCATAGTTATTACTTAAAAAACAATCCACTGGACTTTGTTTCCAAGTTTGAAGACGTTTGCTTCCCTTTGTAACAGTCGTAATTGTGTTGTGTCTCTTTAAGATACTATTGCTACGCGCCACTGCTTCTCTGTAGAGAGCTTGGGGGACGTGATGCAGAGCGATACAGGTACTCAGACTGACTTTTTAATTCCCTATTTTTCTTTGTAATGTTACGGGGTTTTTTTTCATGTTTGAGCAGCCGTTCCACCGTTCTTTGTAATGTTGGTGAAGAGTGTGTTTATTAAAAGACAACACTGTGGAATTCCAATGTAAATGTGAGTTTTTGACCGTCCTCTCCTTCCATAAACGCTACCCTCAGCGTTACACCATCCAGGAAGATTTTTCAATTCAGAGAGGACCAAAAACAAAGCCCTGTTTTTGCTTAGAAACATGCAAATTGAAACAGACGAACGGGTCCGCCCTTTAGGAATGGGGGTCGTCTGACTTCATTGTTAGCCTGCAATAACCCATACTTGTCTATGTCTCTGAAAGGGGGGCATTAAAGGGAATTTTTGGCCTGGCTGAACATGTGAGGTCTTCTGTTCCCCTGTACAGGGGTTGGGGTTGCGATGATAGCGGGAAGGAATCAACTCAACTGATGCATTGTAAGTTTTTGAAAGCTGGAATCTGAGTCCACCCCCGCTTAAGGTTGGTGTTTCTTTCTTCACATAATGGCTTCCTTCGCACCCCTCTTAAACCACCTATCTTCTTTGTCCAAAATGTGAACATTCTTGTCCTGCATACACCACTCTGCTCTGATCTTTATATTGGAGAAACCAAACAACCTCTCCACAGACACATGGCCCAACACGGAAGAGCGCCCTCCCCTGGACAAGACTATACGGTACATCTACACCCTATGGACAAAGGATATTCTTTGGAGGAACAGAATGTTCACATTTTTAGCTCAGTTGATGTTCAACACAGAGACATCTTTTACTTTATCTTTCTAGGGGGTAGAAATCGAGTGGTTTGTTCAGTTTCATGAGAATATAATAATAATAATGAGAAGGGAAAAAAATCCTGTAAAAAGAACACAGGGCTTTTTCAGCAGGATACCAATGCTGTTAGAAAAAACAAAGCAAAAAAATAAAAATAAAATAGTTTTTGTCTGACTGCATCTCCTGAAAGCAAACAAACAAAAACATGATTTTATTATCTATCTGCTGTGTGACGAGTGCCATCATTGGACAGAGGGAACTGTTGGTGCTGTTTGTGTGCAAAGTCAGAGAAATCACAAAGAACTTCTCTGTTCCCAGATGCCTGCATAAAGACTAATTAATTAATGCCTCAAACTTTATTGAACATGTTTATATTTTACAAACTAAGAAAACAAAAGAGGAACCTCTAAAAAAGTTCAGATCAAGCTGATATTATAAGTATATATAAACAAATATGGGGACGTTGCCGTGGTTCACCAAATCAGTGATTAAAAGGACAAGATGGTTTCCCTAAAACATCAAATAATCTTAACAGATATAGAGAAAACATTTTTGTTTTGGTTTCAGAAAATGATACAAGGTTTCCTCATGTCATTGGAATCCTTGAGAGTTTTTGAATTAGACACCCATCCTTGAAAGTCTTTAAATATCCCACATATGGCGACTGCTGTCAACATGTCATTATTCTTATTGTTCCATGGTTTTCTTGTGTAGCTAACATGTGTGTAACAGGATATGCATCGCTGCACATAATCATCTAGCGGGTGAATTTGTGAATTGCCAATCACGCTTATTTAGTCATCAAGTTAGCTGGAAAATGCAAATTTCAGGATGCATGGCTTGCTAAAAGGACAGTTAAAAAGGAACAAAGTATTTATGTCAGTATTTGGGGATCATTTTTAAGCCTACATGAGGCTACAAGAAATGAATCTTTTAACAATATATTTGCTGAGGAGCTTCAAGGTCCAAAAGAAACTCTAAACAATAAGTATTATCGATAAGAATATAGGCTATATATCCAATCCTCTTTTGTTAATGAGTTTGATCCAACACCTTCTATGTCATTCAGTTTTTTTAACAGAATTTGCAACATACAAAAAAACCCTTATTATAATGTTAACGCATTCATTAACATGCAAAAAAATTCAGATTTTAAAATTTTTTAAGGCTTATGTTCATAAGTAATTGGAAAGAAATAGTTGATCAGGCTAAAAATTTGTTACGTTAGCATGCGAGCTGGAGCGTTCTGACATAGCGACCAGTCACTCAAAGCAGAAATGCGTAACGATTACATGGCGTGGACGTGCGTACTCCTTCAGGCTAGCTTGATCCTGTCGGGAGTTTACATTCCTACTGATCGTTCTTTGGCTGAAACCTTTGTTCTCATTTAGATTAGAATTTCATTCCGATCCTTACATGATGCTTACACTGTGCTTGCATAACAGATATTAGGTCCGATTTGCCATTTATTGCAGTTCAACAGCAAAAACGTATTTGTAAAATAAAATAAGATTTTTACATTTAAAATAAGATAACTGAGTGAATTTTATTTTAATATAAACAAAAATCATATTTTTCCATTGGCAAGTTGTCTTACTGATCTGCTCAAAACAAGGGAAAGTACAAAGAATGATTTAATTATATTTTCCCTTTTTTACAGTGTACTTTAGTCCACATAAGCATAGCTCCAGGTGACACTTTCAGTGGTATGAGGATGTAAATGGTGCCACTATTGGTGCCTGAGTATGAGGAAATCCGTCCTGCAAAATCGTTTAATGTTTTTTTTTTTTATTTTAATGTTTACTAAGGTGTGGAATCCCTATGTGTACGAAGAACATTTCCACCTCTAGGTGACAATAAAAGTATCTGTATTTTGAAAAATGTAAATCCTTCAATGTTCAATTGAAGCCACAAATAATAAAATTGAAGTAATTCATTACAGCTGAAGTTAAAATTAGTCCTTTGCAGTGTTCCTCCAATTACTTTAAGCCTTTTTAGAATTAAAAATGTATCCCCATCATTGCAAAAACTGTAAATTTTAAATAAGTGAAAATGTCCTCCAAGTGAATTTGAACATTTAAATAATTTTTTGCAAAGATAATTAGATATTATGCAACAAATACGATTATGTAACTTATTATTATTTTTTATTTTGCATGCAAATAATCTAAATCCACTGGAAAATTGCCCTACTAACCTGCTCAATACAAGGTGAAATACACGTTTAATTGCTTATATTTCAATTTGTGGAGTTTGCGTACCGGGTTAGTTTAACCTCAGCCTGAACGGGCACCTATTTGACCAAGGATGAGCTAAACCACACAGCTTGGGTTGATATTCACCCCAGCAGTTTTCAGAGTGCACGATGACCATGATAAAGATGATGTGATGAGGATGAAAGCTAAGATAGGTGGTTAGCAAACTCTAAATTTGCGGCTCATTTAGTCCCAACCAGTCATTAGGAACTGATAATTAACACTGTTGCTCCGATTACAGTGGTGTAAAAGCTTAATTATGCAAACAGCTTAAGTGTGATGGAGACACATTTATGAAAGCGGTTCACACCTCTTCCTGTCTGTGATGCAGTGCCACGAGATCATGTATTTAAACCATTGTTGGCTCTGAATTAACAGAACGCTGCAGAAAGGAAACATCAACATCCTCTCTGTCTACCAGCAGAAATAGATAGTTCTCATAATGAGCCAGTTTCATACCAGTTATTCCTAACCGTTGGCTCATCCTGCTTTAAACAGACACACATGATGCTGAGGAAGGCCTGCATTTCCTGCCTGCAAAAACACTCCATCTAAACATGTGGTAACAGCGCCACCCTGTGCTCACAGTGAAAAATGACTTGTTTTGCAAAAGCTGGTGACAACAGGCTATAACTCTGTGACCTCAGGAATGTCAAGGCAGAAAACATCCAGGTCAGCTGTGGCTTAAGGAGGTGATAATGAGGGATTTACAGCAGTTTGCAGCGTGGAGAGTGGGGTTAATTTCCACCTAAACAAATCTTTGCCTATTGCTTGTGGACGAGTTATAAAAAAAGGTGAGTTTATGTCTGCTCCAGGAGCATCTCAGCAGGAGAGGATCTGAGAAATGCGAGATGAGCTGTTTTGTTCATCTAATGCCTCCCAGACGTGTAGTCGCACCGGCTGTAATTGAATGTCAAATAAAATCCACTCTTCAAAGAGAGAGCTGGCTCACACGTGTTGAGGAGCTCACATGTCTTTCAAGTTATACCCACTCAAGACTGGAAAGGGGTGGAGGGTGTAGAGAGGAGGGGAGGTGGTTAGCGCTCACAAAAGGAAACCTGTTTGGAGATGGGAAGGAGT